CTTTGCCCTGCCTTGACCCCCCAGCAAAAGCCAACCCCCTTGAGCTCCACAGCTGCAGCAGGCGGGCCTTCCGCAGGCAGCCGTGGCGCGCTCTGCCCTGCCGTCCTTTGCCACAGAGAGAAGTTTGGCAGGCAAACAGAAAGGCCTCTGGGCCACCGTTTCCCAGTGCTGCTGTGGGGGAGATGTCTGGGTGTGCAGGGCCCACTGGAGATCTCCGGAGCAGCCCAGCTCCTGGCGGGGCCGGTGTCACAGCTGGAGCAGGGGATGCACACACCAGCCCCCCACACCTCCCCGGGCGGTGGGGCTGCTCCCCTGGCACCACAACATGCTATCTAACCTGTGGCCGTGCAGCCCCATATGCAGGGTGCCCACGCACACAGCTCAGGGCCTTGGGTCGTCGGGAGCCGCGGTGCCCGTGGGGCAGACGTGCCCCTGCCCAGCCTGGTGCTCCCAGCTCCTGGTTCAGCTGCACAGCGCCGTGCTGCCGCAGGCTACACGTGCAGCAGGGACGAGACCTCGTCTGCCACAGCCAGCGGGACCGCACGCAGGGAGACCAGCCAGCCCCTCCGCAGAGCACACAGCTCCCTGTCCCTGCCCTCCCCTCTCCCAGGCCAGCTGTCCCACCTTGTTCCCTGCCCGTGGGCATCTCTTGACATGGATGGTGAGCCTCAGAGCACCTTCCCTGTCACCCAAGGAGATGGGCAACAGGTGTGGGTCAGCCAGCAGGTCTTGAGCACCCTTCGTCCATCTCTTACGCTGTTACCTGTGTGCATTCCCCCAGGCTCTCCCCACTCAGCATCTCGGGGCACACAGTGTGGCCCCAGAGCCCCCTGGCAGGCAGGCACCAGCCAGGCTCCCGGGAGTGCCCACAGAGGAGGCAAGCTGCCTTCTGAACCGCCGCAAGGAAACCATGCAACCAGATTCACGTACCAAGTGTCTCTTCAGCGTGTTTGCCCCTATATACAGGTGCATCTACTGCATATATACATGCCTTAGCAATAGTATACTGGAAATTGTGCCACACGTGACTTGATGGTGCTGAACTAATGCGTACGAAAGTATGGAGGGGTCCATGCACCCTCTAAGTACAAAGTTTCTCCTGTCCAGCCGCAGGAGGGTCCAATTTTGGGGCATGACAGGTAACCTGCCAGGGCTCCTGGGGGGCACGTGGCTTTGGCACCTGCCCAGTTTGCTCAAGGAGCTGCCGGATCCAGGAGGACGGACTGGTGCCAGATGGCTGCGGGATGCTCAGGGTGGCAGGGTCCAGACCAGGTGCTTCAGCAGAGCTGCAAGCCCTGGGCCGAGAGCCAGAGAGAGCCAGGGTGCCTGCTGCTCCATGCCCACGGGCTGTTGCAGGCTTGAGCATCAGGCAGCAGATGTTGAAAGCTCTGCTATGTGCCTTCCTCTCATGGCAGGTGAAGGTGCGGGTTAACGCTGGGAGAGGAGGACCTGGAGATTTTCTCTTGGAGGTGAAAGGTGCTAACATCCCACCACCGGCTGCCACACAGCACCCATGGGTCATCCAAAATGCATTTCTCGGGCAGTTGAGCAGCTCTGGAGTGGCTGTGGTGGGCGAGAGGAGGTCCCCTCGGCGCACCTTTCGCCAGCGCTGGCATGCCTGGTCCTCCCTGGCTGACATGGAGGAGCCGCAGCTGAGCACGCCGCCCGCTCCAGTGGCTGGGCGAGGAGCCAGGAGTGCCATCAGGCTTCTCCCTGTGCAACTGGGGTCTGGCTGGCAGGGACGGGGCTTCCTGCCCCTCCATGCGGTGTGTCCAAAGCCCAAAATGTCCGGAGAGTTTTTAGTTTTGCCCTGTAATTGCACAGCCTGCTGTGAACTAGTGGCAACTCCTGGCTCCAACTCAAGCAGGTAGTGGCTGCCAGATGGTCCCTGCTCCAGCAGTCAGGTACCTGCAAGCATCCCTTCCCCAGGTGCCTGCCCCACGCACGGGCCTGGAGCTTCCTCATGAAGAAAGTCCAGCTGACATTCCTCCCCTCCGATGAGGGGAGAGAAGCCGCTCTGCCCTGGTCATCGTCACCAAGAACACGCTGCGCCAATAAATAACCCTTGTCTCAGCCCACATGGCTCCTGGGCTTGGGTCAGCAAGCGAGCGGGAGGTCCGAGTCATCCCACGCCGTGGTTCTCCTTGCTGCCCTTGGGGTTTTCCTCTGAAGCTTCACTGTACAATGAGAACAAGACCAGCTGCCTGGGTTTTATTGCTAAGTCCGAGTGAAGTGGCTTCGGCTTGCGTATGAGGCTCCTTTGGGGATGGGGAGGGATAGGGACTGGGATGGGGGGGAGCAAAGGGTCATTCTTCACTGGCTGACTCCTGGAGGAGGCGATGGATGTCCTGGAAGGAGGGACGATCTTTAGTGTCCCGTCTCCAGCAGCTGAGCATTAGCTTATAGACTGAGTCAGGGCAAAGTGCAGGCTGGGGAAGGTAGGTCTTCAAAACAAAAAGCAAAGATGACAAAGGGAGAGCATTACTGCCACAGAAACCAAAAAGCAAACTGCTCCTGGGGAGTCCCATTTCTCTGTGCACCAGGGCAGGGGGCTGTGCTGTTCTGTGTTCAGGAGCAAGGGGACCCCCAGATGGCACGGTGGTGGGGATGGGGGCCCCTGCTCATGTCTACCAGCCTGGCTAAATGCC